AGAGAATTGGGACCATTTGTCAATTATTTTCTGTATTAGTCTGTGATAAGCAGAGGCCTGAAAAGTAAATGTGTGGTGCTGTTTTTTAAGGGAACGTTTGGCAGTTAAATATTTTTGAAGGAAGACACTGTGCACTTGGAGTCCCATCACTTTAGATCTCTATGCTTGGTACAGTAAAATTGCCACCATTGTTTTTCCCTTAGTGGTTTTGACTCTGAGCAGGTTCTTATCAGTCATAGCATGTGCACCTATTTTGCAAATAAACAATCAACTAAAATCCAAACCATCTTATCCTCAGAGGATCAGGGGTGGTTATGTTTTTTGTTTCCTGGCTTTTAAGCCAACTGGACTGAGGCATGATCTGTTTTCATTACAGAATTCATTCCACAAGTTAGGATTGAAGGAAGGCCCTAGAAATACATTGCTAACATTTCTTCTTCTTGATAAGGTTTCTACCCTTCAGAGCAGACTTCAAAAAGGTGCAGCAAGGTCAAAAATTCAACTAATTCTAAGAAGGGTTTTGATCAATTCATGAAGTGGATTATCTAAAACTTGCCTGTAATAGTGAGGGATTGGACTCGGTAGCCCACAAGGTCCTTTCCAGTCCTTTATTTCTCAAGGGCTCTCGTCTCAGTCCTTAACTTTTGAAGAGCTAGATATCCTCGTGAGAAAAGCAAATCTGTTTTATCAAGAACCTGGGTTTAAACAAATTAACAAAGTTGGCGCACAAAACTCCAAATCCCATACACACCAGGGATTAATGCAAGAGAAAATGTAAAAATAACTCTTGAACTAACAAACCTGGTGATGTGCCACTGTGCTTATGCTTTTTTTTCGGATCTTTATTTCAGCTCTTCAGATCATGTCCATTATCCTGGTCATGTTTGGGAAATTTGGAATCACGTCTGCCTTTTCAATGGTTTATGTGTACACTGCTGAGCTCTACCCAACAGTTGTGAGGAATATGGGAGTTGGAGCAAGTTCCATGGCCTCCAGGTTGGGCAGCATCCTCTCGCCATACTTTGTGTACCTTGGTAAGATTCTGGTTATTGTATTTCCCCCCAAGTGGCGTAGCATTGGAGACAAAATACAAGTGCATGGATAGATTGAGTTTTGCTCCAGTGAACTGGGTTAAACATATTTTCATGGCCATTCCTTCATCTTGCTTCATAAAATCCAGGCAGTTCCCTTGTATATCTATCTTAGGTTAGCTAGCAAACATGCTACAGTGGAATCCCAGCAACTTCTACTCTTTTTGTTCTGGGTAACCTCAACTCAGAAAGCATTTAGAAATCCTAGGACCACTGAATGCTTTGTTTCATTTGGAAGTTTAGGACTCAGTGATGGGGCAGAGGTGGGCTGCCTGCTGCGGGCTGGGCTCTGGACCCTGCTGCCCTTGCCTGAGGAGCTCAGCCACCCAACCCCAGTCACACAACCCCAGTGTGTCTCCTGCCGCCAGGTGGGCAGAGGATGCACCATGCGTAGCAACACACTCCACATCTCCTCTCCACCTGGCGGGGTAGCAATGGCATCACACAGCTGGCGGGGTAGCAATGGCATCACACAGCTGAGCTCCCAGGGCAAAGGCAGCGGGGCACAGAGTCCTAGCCTGCAGCAGGCAGTCTGCCTCTGCCCTGCAGGGGCACATGCCACCATGACGTCCCTGATGGGGTGCACTGCTGCGGGGAGCTGTGCTCCCCTTTTCCTCCGCACCTCTGGGTGATGTGCCCCAGCCCTGGGCCCCATTTGCCCCTGCCCCACTCCCTTCCTCACCGCAGGATCCTCAGTCTCCCTCTCCCCTTGCCCCTTCCCCTCAATTTACCAGCGGGGTGCTGTCTGTGTTTTTGTCTCTGTGCATCTGTCTCTGTCTGTCTGTCTGCTCCTCAGTCCCAAGCCACAGCCTGCCCAGCCCTGCTGCTGCTTCTCACTCCTGACCCACAGTACCCCACATCCTGCCAGGGTGTGTGGGGACTCTACCTCTCCAGGCTCCAAACCCCACACACACACCCACAGCCCTCAACACCTTCACAAATAACACCGCCCCCCCCCCCCCCCCCACCCACACACACGCACACACTTCAAAACTAGCATCTCACGATTTACGTGCCAATCTCTTGATTTTTTTTTCTTTTGTCTCGTGATTTTTGGCATGGTGGGTTTGACAATACTGTATACCTGATGTTGGCATGTCCTGTGTTTTACCAGGTGCTTATGACAGATTCCTGCCATACATCCTGATGGGAAGCCTGACTGTGCTGACAGGAATCCTTACTCTCTTTCTCCCAGAAAGTTATGGTATTCCTCTCCCAGACACCATTGAGCAGATGCTGCTGGTTAAAGGGTAAAGGTTGTTTTCTACTCTACTTTCTTAGGAAACCACTAACATGCGTGATAAATACCTTCATAAAGCTGCCTCCTAGCTGTTTTATTCCAGCTGCATAGTAAGTGCCAGGCAGATGAGAAACCTTCAAGAAAAAAGAAATACGCAATAGAACGGGTCAGACTTACTCTCGTGATATTAATGGAGTTAAGAGTCGAGATGGTGTCTGACTGATGGGCTGTACATGCAACACTTGTTGCTGCTTGACAGTTGCTCACGAAGTGGATGGAGTTTAGAGTAAAGTAAAAGAAGTGGTCAAGAGGTTAGGATTAAATATACAGGAAACAACTATTAGCTCATTACTTGGAGAGCAGGGCAGGCTTTGGATAGGTTTCCTTAAAGGAAGAATTTGGCTCTACAGTTGCAGTTCTTTGAACTTCCTGTTTTCAACACAGCTTCCAGTGCTGTGTTTAATGCAAGCAACATTTTACATAAAGAGCCTCTGTGTTTAAAAGTAAGCCATTTCACATAGTTTTAAGAATTATAACCATATTTTAAGGCTCTTAACAAAAGTAGCATTGACACCTGAGTACATAAGGTGACATTGTTTTTAGATCAGATGGTTTTGATTAGTCAGGTTGGTTTGTTTGAAAGTCTTCCCCAATATAGAAATGCATTATCCAAATTCTCCTGATGTGCTTATTTTGGAAAGTCACCTGGGTTTCAGTCAAGTACAAAACACTTTCAATCTGTGGAACTAACAGGGCTCTGAGAAGATGTCCCTTAGCATCCCAGAATGTGCAGCCCAATATAATGCTTGGGCTCTCCTACAGCTGAGAATATGAGAGAAGCACTAAGAGGCACACTCCAGGCTACTCAGGACAGCTGTCACCCCTTTGTTCTCCCTAATTGCTGGACATGCCTGTGGGCAGAGCCGTTGTCTTTTGGTAGGTTAGCATTTCTCTGGTGGCCTGTCCCAAACAACCAGGTAGGCACGAGGGCGTTCAGGGCTTCACTGTGGTCCCAGTTCGGGAAGATACTTAACCATGTGTGTGACTTTAAGGCTTGTAACAAATGGCTCCTTTGTGCTGCCATACAAATTGTGTGGTGGCGCAAAGGTCTAGCAAACAGACATCCATGCCTCTTGTTGCACCACAGAATTTGTGGCCACAATATATAAGTGGTATAAAATTGTGCTGCTTTTTTTGCAGCAGGTGTCTGTTTGTTTTATGGTGGGAGGGCAGAGCAGTCCAGAGCTGCCTGCAGTCTTGAACTGCCCCGGGTCTTCAGGGACTTGTCCTTCACACACTGGAGTCCTTCCTAGGGTGCACAGGACAGGGTCCCTGAAGCCCTGGGGGCGCCTGCCCAGGTTCCCCCTGTTTGCAGAGATGTGCCCCAAGAAGGATGGAGATTCCCATGGTGAATACTGCAGGTTCCCTGCTTACAGATGCACACCCTAAGAATTGCCTGGCAGGGGATTCCTTAGACACTCATAGCACATTTTTATGGCCCTGGGTGGACAGAGGTGCATCCCAAGTTGGGATGTGACAGTGGGTTCCCCTGTTTGCAGTTGTCCTGCAGAACTGCGCCTCAGGAGCAGTAGGGGCTTGAACCGGTGGATAATTGGTGACAACTGTGTCACCCAGTGAAGTGGATCATTTTTTTCTAGGATACCCCAGCACAGCTGACTGTCTTCATTTGGTGACATCCGTTTATAGCCTAAGGTGTGATTTGTCCCGTTAAAGTCAATGGGATATTTTAAAGTCAGACACATGCCTATGTTCCTGAATCAGAATTCCTACAGACAAACTAACTGGGATTTCAGAGGATGTTTCTTTTGGGAGTGTTGTATTATCAGTTATTTTTTCCATTTTTTACAGAATCAAATACAGACATTCATCTAGTGGTCCAAGGGTTTCAAAGGATGAAGAAGAAAGTCCCGTGATTCTTAAAAGCACAGCTGTTTGATGTATCTACACTGCATACTTCATGATGGACTGAAAAGTAGAGAGACTTTTCTTTAATTTTTCTACCAGAAAGTGCTAGTGGCAACATTTCATTTCCTGTAATTATAAACTTATTTATTAAACACAGTTTTCAGTAGGTTCCATTTTATATGAACACAAATACTGTAGGTCCCTCCCTGAAATCTCCATCAGCATTTGTTTAATATGTCAGTTACACTGAGCACTATGGGATCGACAGAGTCAGAGTCTGCATCTTCAGATAATGAGGAAACTCTGTGTACAAAGGTGCTTGAAGATGAGGTCTGGAGTGACTTCAGTCCTTAGGGAACCTTCACACAACATACTGCATATCAGCAAGAGTTAAAACTTGCCAACTCTTACTAATTAGTAACAAAAGATGCCAAAAGACTGCCAGTGATTGCTTGACAGACAGACACCATCATTCCAGAGCAAAAAGCTGACTTAAAGGATAAAGGTTGCAAAAACATTTGGTTTGGCAGTTTTATAATGGTATACATTTTCACAGAGGATGCTATGTCCATGACACATTTCTGAACAAATTCAGGCATGGAAAAAAAGGAAAACGCTGAGAAACAAATTTGAAAACTGTGTTTTATCTTAGCTGGAATGCATTTTCTAATGCAAAGAGTTTGCACTAGTTACATTTTGGTAGTACACTGCATGTCAAATACCTTTTTAACATGGCCACAGGGTGAATTTGTTTACACCTGATATTGGGATGTGGTTTTTTTTCCAGATTCATACATTTATTTTAAACAATGCAAATAGGTTTTATCTTTTTTTTGTTTGTTTTACTTCTAGGATACATTACAAGCTAATCCTTTAAGTTGGTCTTAAACCCTTAGTGCAGTTTGGTTTAGGGAGCAAACAAATGTCTGTTTTCACGAGATTTTTTTTATTTCCCTTTTGTCATTTTTTCCATTTGATGGCTAAATTTGTCTCCTTTACATCTGTGTGGCTACACTGACTTGAAGGCAGTGGAACTGCATGGGTGTTACTGAGAGTAAAATTTAGCCTCTTGTGCTTGACCTAGGTGCCAATAGCATCATTTTATGTGAACTTGTTTTCTTATAAGTATCATGAAATCCATGACATTTAAATAAAAGTGCAAAAAAACAAGAAATCATGATGAAAATAATACCAAGAAACAATTCTTTTTATCACAGAAGCTGTCTAGGTATTATCTGTATTTCTTTCAGGAAAATTTTTCTCTGTCTCTCATTTTGCACAATTCTGAAGGTGCAGTATTTTTGGCTGGAAAAGTTTGAGATGAATCTATTGGGGACATTCTGTGGTACTTTTTATAGTTTAATAAATAGAATCTAACCTTTTTATAATCAAAGCTACTAATGCCGTTTACAAACATTTTATGTTTTACTACTGGGTTTTTTTCCATTTTTTTTTTTTATTTAGCTTTTGCTAAACATTTCGATAACCAGGATTTCTTGCTCCTTTACCCTGGTGATCATGCTGTAGCAGCAGTTTTGGTGCACTACTTCCTGCCTTATAGGAGAATGTGTAGACCCTCCCCTTTTGTCTCACCTTCTCACATGCACATGTATATACTGTAAGCAATTGGATTGTCTAGTTCCTCCTGTCTGTACCTATAAACGTGTAGCCAGAAGTTGGCCAGTGTTAATGTATCATAGATGAGACTATTTCTGTGCCCTTGAGGCTGGATTATGTTGCATTGTGTGGGTCTTTGGAGGGTGGGGCAAGAATCTAAATATGTTTCCATGTGCTGTAACCAGTTAGATGCAGCTGATTCAGAGGGCTGCTATTTTCTTGACAGTGGTGCATTCCTGGCAATTGCATTTTATAGCATGCTGTATGACTTGAAGCTAGTGCACAATGTGGTCAACCTAAAGTGAACGTTTTAAAGCCTCACTCCAGATTACACAATGGCCTCAGCATGGCAAATCTGCGTAACAGGACCATGCATGAACCATGAGTCCCCCTTAATATGGGCCTTGTTTAATAAAAACCTTTGAAATATTCTAAAGCTTGCTCTTGCATGGTATAATTTGCCATTTCTGTGCCCATTTTATGCATTCATTATAAAACAGACAAATCTAATCTCAATGATATCCTAAAAGTTAGTGGAAATATGTGTTGTTAAATAAAAAAAAATTATCCATTCTAAATTGACATGGGCTGCAGCATATGAAAGCATACTTTTTCCTGTACTTTACAGCAAAAGGCTGGTAGCCACAAGAGTTTGAAGTGAAAAACATCAGTTGTGGGTTCTCAATAATGACTCTACTTATATAACTGGCTTACTGTATTCCTATAATCTCTTCCTGAGCGTGAGGTTGTTGGGCATTGTTTCAAAAGAGGTCTTATTGCACATGTTCTTGCAGCTGATGCATATTCTAAAATTAGAACCAATTCTTGGCCAAGATCTAACATATTATTAACACTTTATTTACCACTTGCTTTTCCCACTGATTTATTCTATTTTGTTACTTGAAGACAATTTTCTTTCTTGAAATTTTTTTGATGCTCCACAGTTCATTAAGCAATCTTAAGAGTATTGACTGAACCAGCTGACTTGAAAAATCTCCCAATTCTGCTGCCAGTGCAGATATGTTAAACCAGTAATATGGCTTTCTGATGTCAAAACATGCCTCTTTCTCCCTGCTGGTCTTCTAAAAAATGGAAAACCTTCCTTTGTGCCTCTGTTAGGTGCATGGGTATTTAATATTGGGTGTTAGTGTGGGGGTTCTGTGTTATTATACTGTCTAAATCTGTAGGTCCTCTAGGTTACATGCAAGAGGATGCACCAATTTTAGAGGATACGAACTCAAAATCTAACCAACGCATTCCCTCCTAAACTGTTGTCAGTGAGATCAGTGAGAAGTCAATAATGTTTAGTGGGGGACTAAGCCCAGCTGTAGATGCATGCAGGATGTTCTGGTAGCATCCCATTGTATCTAACCTTTGAACATGAAGTGTTCAGAATGAATCTTTCAGACCTAAAGTACTGTATATCAGGACACAATCTCAATCGTGGTCTTTTAAAGACATGGTTTGCCTTTCACCTTGTTTTAGGTGGTGAAAGGAATAGGATCATTGATTGGGGCCATTATGTTGATTGGGATAGGATCTTCTGACTCCTGACAAATCCAGACTTCTTGGAAATGCTCCATTCTTTCTTTCCTCCTTTTTATGTGAATCATCCTCTAAACTAGAGAGACTCCTCTGGGCATAACATAAAAACATCTTGAGGCACAGGGTTGAGTTCCATGGTGGAGCCATCCAGAAGTACTGTATACTCCAATCTGCTATTATTGTAAAGACTTCAAAAATAGTACCACTTCAAATGCTGATAGTTAGCTCAATGAACAGAAGAAAAACTGTATGGAATATACATGCATTGATAGGAAGATTTTCAGTATGCAGTACTAGAAATCTTGTTCTATCACATTTATAATTCATATGAAGTAGTCTTGAGCTAGTCCGTTTGTTCTCAAAGAATTAATAAAATGCTCTTTAGAAAGTGGCAGAAGCTGGCCTTGAGTTAAAGGGTTGTTCAGTTCCTTGTAATGTCCATCCAGGATTAGAATACTACATGAATTCAGGTTGCTTTGAATTCACCAGAACTGGAAAATTTAGAGTGGTCCATACTCTAACTCATCTTCTAGGATTTGTTGACTTCACGGTATGTAAACTCACTCCCTGACCATGTAGATGGTATGGTTATCTGTCATAACAGAAAGACACATGTCCTAATGATCCTTAGAAAAGAAGCCAGAAAATTCTGAGTTCAAATCCTAGCTCTTGGACTGATTTCCTTTGTCACGCTGAACAAAGCACTTAACCTCAATAACTCAGTGATCCTGTTCGTAAAAAGGAGATAATACCACCTTATGAGGGTTTTATAAGTGTCTGTGAAGACCTACATACATGCTTAGCAGGATTATCTGTAGTTTGAAACCATTAGTTAGAATTTGTTGTTTACTTTTGAATGGAACATTTATTATATAATTCTAATACTTCTTCCTTCTGTAGCAGGTGAGCCTGGAGCACATGTGGCATTTAATTTGTTTGTAAATGCACTGTTTTGTATTCCCAAGATAGGCAAAGAAAGGCCCAGAGTGGTGGTGACTTGCTGCTGGGCACAGCAAAGGTCTGTAACATTGTCAGGTATAAAACTGGGGCTTTTGATTCCCAGTCTTAAGCTTTAAGTCACGTAATCCTTTGGTGCTACAGAAAACAGCACTTTCGTGCATGCTGCCTTTTCACATGCAGGCAACACTGAAAATTGCAAATTCTCATTCATCCAAATGTTTGGGGAAAACATTTTCCTTCCAGAGGTTTTAATTACTTCAGGAGATCTGTAACAGCCCTAGATCTAGTATAACAGCACTACCATGTGGCTGGCATCTTGGAAGCTGCTAGTGATTACTGTCATAGGCACCTGGCTGGACAATACAGCTGTGCCCTTTTATGTTGTTACCCACAGTAGCTTGTTCATTGCCTTCCATGGCCCTAAACTTGCAAACATTTAAGTAGATGCGTAAGTTTATTCACTGGAGTGGTCCCCTTTGAACAGGTGGGCTGAATCCTGTGAATGAAGTTACCGGCATGCTTGAGGAGTGGGCCATAAACTTGGACAGCTTAGACATAGTCCTTAACTTGAATAAAATGATTTTATCATACTATATGACAGCATAGTGCCTTGCTTGCAAATGCAACTTGAAACACTGATATGCCACTGTTGCCTACAGCTTTGTGTGTGTGTGTGTGTGTGTGTATATATATAGAAAGCCAAATATTTTTAAAAATCAAAGACCCATTTCTTCTATGAATGTAAATATTCTGAAATGTAACAAAGTTGATTTCAAGTAGTTGATTCTTGATGTACTTTCCTATAAAGACTATGATACTGTTTGTAAAATACTGAATAAAATCATTTCAAAGAGAATTCGAAATATGAAGCATTGTCTTAGTGTTTTTACATCTTCATATTTGTTTGGGGGTTTTTTGTTCATTATTCATATAATGACTTTTGCCTTTTTCAACTGTTCCTCCTTCCTCTTTCAAATCTCTCAGGGCTTATGCTTTATCTTCCGTTGTTCAGTACCTTTCAAGTAGATTTTAGTCAGTTTTCTCTACGAAAACACTGCACTTCAGTTTTCTCAACCAAATGGAGCTTCATCAATGCCAGAGGCTGCCAGGTTTGCGGAAAGATGACTAAGAGGCGGAGCACAGCAAGAAAGTTAACTTTGCAAAGCAAATGGGCTAAGAGCACTTCCTCAATTGACACTAGGTAAGAACAAGAGAGATCCAGCCTCTTTCAAAGATCGAGAAATATCTTGTTGGGTGTGTATATTCTCCATCAGGTGACAGCATTGATTCAGTTCATTGTCTGGCAGCAGAAACGTTCTAGGCCAGCGGTCGGAAAGGCATGCAGAGCCACTGGATCCGGTCTTTGGAGCTGGAGAGCTTTGCCTGTGCCCACTCCCACACTGCAGCTTCCAGCTGTGCCTGTGCCACTGTGACTTCTTCCTGCTCTCCTGGCTCCAGCGTGAACTGGGTAGCTTCAATGGCATGTAAGTGGCATGGGGCTTTGCCTATGCCCTCACTGCCATCACTTCTCCATGCCCTGGTCCCACGTAGCAGCATAAGTGCAGCTTCCAGCCAGCAGGAAACGGCACTGGGGCTGAGCAGCTTTCAGCCACACCTGGGGTGTTGGGGGGAGGGAAGAGGGGAGAAGTGATAATAATGTGGATGCAATTTACAGGTATCTGGTAGGGCTGTGCGAAATGTTGCTGGCGGTTTTGTTTCAATGCTGTTTTGACTCGTTTCAAGCTCGAAACAGCAAAATCGAAGCGAAACAGCTTTGAAACAGCCTCGAAACGAAATGAGGCAAGTCGAAACGTTTCAAGGGGGAAGCGGGGTGGGGAAGGGACTGCTCTCATTATTGACTGTGTAGCTAACCAATGACTCATCCTTTCCTGAGGTCTCTCCCAATCCCAGTGCTCTGGGGGAGGGATGGAAAAACTGCATAAAGGGCAGCATTGTTTGAACTGCCCTGCTTTCTGCCTTGGTGTCAGTTGAGTGAGGGCGTACCTTAACACAAACACAGTGTCACCCACCCGTGTCACGAGTTTTGCCTGTCAGCAGCTAGGGGTGCAGGGCCCCAGAACCCCCCTGCACTGATCTCCTCGACAGCCGGCAGGCTTCGTGGCCTCAGCAGGGGCTAGCATCCCTGCAGCCTTCACCCTGCTGCGCCTTAATGCACACAGTGTCACCTGTCACGAGTTTTGCTTGTCCGCAGCTTGAGGTGCAGATTCCCCAAACTCCTGCACCTAGCTGCTTGAAACTTGGCAGGCTTTGTGGCCTCACCAGGGGCTACCACCCTTGCAGTTTAGACCCCGCTGTGGCTTAACACACACACACGTGACATGAGTTTTTTGCTTTCAAGAATTTGAGGTGCTGTTTCCCTGAAACCCCTGCACCTATCTCCTTGACACTTGGCAGGCTTCATTCCCTCAGAAAGGGCTACCATGCCTGCAAGTTTCATCCAAATCAGGCCAGAAATGACAAAGGAAAGACTGTTTTGAGCTTCCCCATTACAGCCTATGGGTGAAACGTCAGAACTGCAAAACTGTGTCAACAAAATGAAACAGAACAGCAGTTTTGAATCGAAACAAAATTCAAAACTAAACGCTGTTCCGTCAAAATGCAAACCGAAATGGAACAGTGCTGTTTCTCATAGCCCTAATATCTGGTCCTAGTGCAGCTCCTCACTTGTTGGAAGTTGTGTCCATGCTGCAACCAGGGGGCTGGGGGCTGAGAGAAGCAGCAGTGCTGCATCTGCAGCTCCCATCTGTGTGGCACCAGTGTGGGCCCAAGGAAATCCCCAGCATCTGCTGATGCACTGCCAAAGCCACCCAGTTGACATTGGACTGGAGTCTGGTTGTTCCAGTCTGCAGCTTATAACAGGTTGTCAGCCCCTGATCTAAGCAAAGAACCCATGGAAATGAGTAAGAACATCACTCCTGATTAATCCGTGCAGGCACAGCAGTTAGCTTGATGGCCACAGGTGCCGAGCAGCTAGAAACTTCGCTTAAGTCCATGGGAGCACTAAGTGCTCAACACCTTTGGAAATCAAACCGTGTGAC